AGCAGTCACTGAAATTCAAAAGCAGATATATTTATATTTAGCGAAGTGTCAGGAGATGTGTACAGCAAATAGGGTCTCGAGGGGGTTTATACCAGTAAATGAAAACAGGCCCTAAATGGAGCCTTGAGGTACTCCACGAGTGAAGAAGACAAGCGAACTAGGTCTAAATTCCAGCCATATGAAACTTACAGAAGAGCTGACTCTGTGTTATGACAATCAATGAAGCCTGAAAATCCATACACCAATTTTCTGGGTACGCCGTGAACAGGTTTACAGTCTATTTATACACGAATGGGAGCTTAGATCCATTCACCAGACTTTTTATTTTTAAAACAGATAAAAGATACTGCAGTGTCCAATATTTCCCTCGAAAAAGTAGGAATAATGTCCAGGGACCAGGGGTTGACAATGTTATGTATGCGTGTTTGTGTGTACCATGATACAGAGGTATCGATTCTGGTGTCCTGTTCCAGGAGGGAACAGAGAGGTGTGGTCCAGCAGCTGCATCAACAGTTCAGTCGCTTTGTTAAGATGTTCTTCATCTCGACTGAATTGGCTCTGTTTGTTCACACACAGCAAGGCGTCCACCTCACACTGGTAACCTACAGGGATCCAAAGAGATGAGCAACGGAAAGAACAGGGAATTACACAGGCAGCAGAAAAGAGCGGAAACAACCGAGAACTCACCGAGCTGAAGCAGGATTTTCTTCCACCGAGCTCTGACCTCTCGTCTGGCATAGCGCAAGGTATGTATGTCATAATTCAACTTCTCCCATTCCTGTAGACAAACACAAACACTTCCTAATTAAAATATACTAATGAGGATGCAACTTACAACTGAGGGAAATGATATTTCTGCAGTGTATTCAATTTAAAAAAGCAAAAATGTCAGCCTCATAAATCAGCAGAAAGTTATTTACCAGTCCACAAAACAGTCCACCCACACCTTCCACTTAAGAGCCGTCAGTTTTCCTCAAGCTTTATGAATCGCACATGTATGAATAACAAAATGAATGATGGCTGAATCCTGTTTAGTATTGTCATGACCACAGAGCCATTTTTACTTTTTGTTTCGTCAGACACTTATTATTCTTTAATGACCCAATGTCCTCGTAGAAAGGTATATTTTATTTTATGGGTTTAATATTTAGCAGTTTGCTTTTTGGACGTGTTATTAGGAGCTTCTTGTGTTAAAGCGTTGTCTGTGTAAATTCTTACAAATTGTGTGTGATTTTTAACCTGCAGGCAAGTGTGTTTAATGTTGGAAACTGTAGAATCATTGTGGTATTTACTTTGCTTCAAACACAACGGCCCATCTAGTTTGGTCAAAACGGGGGTCCCAGGTTTTGGACACAGTATAGAGGGGTGGGGGGCTACACCCTCACAGTTCATTCATCTCTTGTTCCTGTTTTAC